GCACTTCCAGTCAACCTTTTGAGCCCTCTTGAACTGGCTGTCTGTCATTGGAAGGCACATGAAACCACCCCTGCATTGATGGCATTCGATCTGAAAAAAGAAAGAAATATAATCATCTAATCAAATTGCTTAGTAATCAATTATTCATTTCAACTCAGTTCAATTCATATTGCTTTATTGGCATGACGTCTTGAAAATAACAGTAGAATACTGGCAGCTGTGGTTGCTGCCAGTAATGAACTGTTCATTTACAGTTCTCTACGTGACTTTACTAGGCTATACTGGATTTACACCATGCATTTCCTGTCAGCGGGAAAGCCGCGCCCCCAGCTATCACAAGACCCGACCAAGTCCATGGTTGACACCCTCTCATTAGCATGTTGTGCTGAGGAAAAATAAATGCAGAACTACATTCAGAAATAAATGAGTGATTAAAAGAAAACAGTTAGGATGAGTTTAGCATTTCCTTAAACATTTTCCATTTGGCCACCAATTTATTTATTTGCCTATATTTCATCACACGTTTAATTATTTATATACGTATTTAAACAAGAATACGTGTATGTATACACACATTTATTTATTTTTTTGCGTATTTATTTATACACACATTTATTTTTTTGTGTATTTATTATTTTTTTTTATTTCTGCAGGTTTGGTCCTCCATAGCGGAAGCCATTATTCCCGCATACATGACAATGAGCCAAAACACAAATCATCTTCTGTGAAAGCACCATTAATCCGAACTCCTCTTCAGCAAAGCCTGAATCCAAGCCTCCCACCCTTCCTCGAAAAACCATCGCATCTGCAGATTATAGGCTACTCCGTTTGTCACTTTCCTCATTTTTCCCCTCACTCTCTCTTTTCCCCTTTACACTTTTCCCATATCCGAGGTGTAGGTGTGAAGAGCGAGTTTCGCGCCATTCCGTTTTCACAGGCTATTTATACTTCTTCAAACCCACTGCCTCACGTCCCCACCGGATGACTTCATCATCATCATCATCTCCCCCCGTGCGGTCGCAGCTGTAGGGTCTTACTGCCGGTGTCCAGCTCGTGGGAAGGCAGGGAGACGCAGAAGAGGTGGGTGGGGGGTGTGAGGAGAGCTGACTCACAGGGAATGAGGGGGATGTTACAGCTCAGAGCGCCTCTGAATCATCACCGTCTTCTCCCGCACAATCACCATCATCATCTTCATCAATGACACATCCGTCATTCAGTGTTTCTGTGAATGGGGAGAGAAAGAGGGAGGCAGCGAGAAACGCTGGTGGTATTATGAGGCAAAGCGGTCCATATGTATTCAGGAAGATGAGTTGAACTAATTCAAAAGCCAGGGTGTGGCTGTGTCACGGGGCGACCGTGTTTGAAAGCGAGAGACTATATTTAGGCGAACGGTTATAATAAAACAACAGATGGTTTACATTCTAGGAGGGAAGAAAATGCTGACATGGGAGGGACTATTTGTAGTGCTAAAGGGAGGGTCCATGTGTTTGCCAAGTCAAAACACATGTAGACGTGACACCTCAGACACCTCTGCTGTTCATACTCAGTTGGATCGGGATGCTGGGGATGGTGTTAATATTCAAATGGGAATGGGGGAAAGGAGGGTTGCAAAACTATTGTTTTAATGGACTTATAAATGTTACATTTTATTGACGTTAGAGTCAAGTTTCATAAAAGCTGGATTATGTGTAATTTAGTGTAACTTTAAAGGGGTCATATGATGCGATATCAAGTTTTCCTTTCTCTTTGGAGTGTTACAAGCTGATTGTGCATAGATAAGATCCCTGAAGTTGCAAAGACTAAAGGAGGGGGCTTTGTAGAAAACGAAGCGTTTGAGAGAGGCGGGGCATAGAGGACCTACAATAATGTACAGTATTTGAAAAATAATGTGTTTTTTGAACATTAAAGCATGTCAACATATTCTGTTACACCAAATACACAAAATAATGATCTTTAAAAAAGCATCATATGACCCCTTTAAGTACCACGGCACATTCCAGGCTTCAGGCTCCAAATGTAAGGCAGTTGGAGATGAATGGGTCCTTTCAGCACAGGGTAAATGAAACAAAGTAGATTAAATCAGAAATAACAGGAAAATGTCTTAATACCTATGCACTCACATGCGAAATGTGATGGCTTTTGTTTAACAGCTGCAAAAATTATACGGAATTTTTAGTATGGAAAAGGTTTTGAGCAAAAAAAAAAAAAACAGTTGAGGAATATGAATATCCCAGAAGTAATGGCTAAAAAAAATTACACTTAAATGGACGTTTCATGGGAAATTTTGTGATTTGAGTTTAAAGGTTGAAGTGTTAAAAATTAATTTTTAAAAATAATTCTACTTCAGTTCTTCTGTCAGCTCAATGTAGTGTTATTACCATTAACAAAAACTAAATGAAAAAAAAAACTAAGAAAACTGAGAAAAAAACTTCAACTAAACATGTTATTATGACTTCAAAAGTAAGTAAAATATATCACAAATAGGTACAAATGAATTTTCACTTTAGGTTTTGATACATGGTATAAAACTGGAATCCTTTTCAACCCACCAACAATTTCCAAAATACTGAATGGTCATCTAGGGGGTTTTGACTTTTAAATGACTTTCCTTAAAAGAGAGGGAAACCTCCAGGCACATGAATTTGCATATTTTGCTTTTTTAATTAAAAACAAATGAGCAATCAACCCAAAGCAGTTTTGTTGTTTCTTTTTTTTGTGTGTGTGTGTGTGTGTGTGACATAGCAAATCAATTCAAAAGGATCAAGTGTAAACTTACAACAATATAGTACACTATTCTGACATTTCTTTAACGTGGGGGGCTGACATGAAAAATAATTTTCATATGAATTATTTATGCAATTATCCATATTCACAACTATATACATTCATGTCAAATTCAAAGCAATTGAAGCCATGAGCTCTGAAACAAAAAAAGACATTCATTAAAAATAAAATAGATAGAAATGCTCCAAATTAAACTATATAATTTTCTTTAAAAATAGAGTTGAAGAGAGGACCTTTACAATGATATGAAGATTAAATGAAGATTGCTTCATTTTCAACATAGGCACATCGTTTGTTAATATCTGAGGCTTTAAAGTGACGGGAAGTTTTCCTGGCAGACATTTAGAAACCCACCCCAACTGAGGCTGAGCAGCGGCACCAAATGTAGCCAGTGCTCCATGCTAGTACTCATGTAAACAAAAACAGTGAGGACTAAAGGATCACTTCAACCTTCTTTTCTATTATAACACCACCACCGACCACGCCATCATTAGAGCCTCCTTCAGGAAGATAAAGATGAATTTCTTTGCGTTAGATGCTTCGCTTTCAAACAATAATGATTCTTTGGCATAAATAACCATCCGTCTCAATTCCTTTCCCACTAAAATGAAATCAAACTGAACTAAAAATCTGAATACCCCTGTCAAGAACAAAAAATACTACTACGATATTTCATTAAAAAACAGAAATGTTTGGCTACAGGGCAAAAAAAAAGACATTTAGATAAACATTGGTTAGAACTAAGAACAGCCTTTACCTGACCTTCAAAACGGCAACAAATCTTTCTATTAGCCAATCAAACGCTTCACTCGAGATTCACCCAATAATGTCCCTGTAATAATAATAAATAGATATTTTAAAGCAACACAACTTCCATAACCGTATCAATGTCACCACAGTTAAAATACTGGTGAGTCTCAATCACTAGACCAATGAAAATTATGATTATCAAGTCCAGCACCTTAAGACCATCCACTAAACCCACAATTCTGTGTCGATCAACCGATCAAAAAGAATGTCTCCAACTGCAATAATATTACAGAATACACCAACCGATATGTCACTAACAGTAATGGACTGTTAGTGACATATCGGTTGTCCAGTGTTGCATGCAGCACAACATAAAGTGATATTTCTGTACATAATGCTCTATATTTCCTGGTGGTATGCAGCATTATAAGCGAGTTGAGAATCTGGGACATGACAATGTAAGACAAGCGCTGACATTCCTCTTACTAGGACGTGTTATAACTTTGCTAACTGACCCACAATCAGTTGCCAGATCACTTTGAGCTGCACTTGTAAGGCAAACAGCGACTTCTGGACTCACATGGCACGTCAAGCTTGTTTTTTTTACCTACTCACAAACATCAGCTGACATTTGTCTAGAAGCATGTGGTTTTCGAGTGTAACTGCTAGCTGCTAGTACTGAACAAACATCAGCTCAGGCTCCACTGAGGGTGAACAGAGAGAAGGCCCCACGGTTTCGGATAGATATCGATATATTCGTCGTATACGTAAGTCTCGGGCCACTTTGAAGGATGAGACTGCGCCAGCAGCTTCGTATTTTTAGGCAATCCAGGGAGAGTATGTGAGGCAGGGAAAAAGGTGACCTGCTTTCACTTTGATCGATTGTCTTGCCCACAGTGGCTTTTCCGAAAAAGAAAACGAAGGAATGGAGAAAAAACTTATGTGCTTATGGGTGAAAAAACTAATTTGGCATAGCCCACTAAACTCGCATGGTTAAAGCGGAGGTAAAGTGAAAAAAAAACAAAAAAACATCTTCGCCTAAACCAGATGAGAAATAGCGATTATTAAGAGACATGAGATTGCCGTGCCCCCCACTTTATGATTAAACAGCACAGGGGTGGGTTTTTCTGGAAGACGATATGTGGCCCGCTCCTGCCGCAGCCGTCGAGCGCAGAAGGCCATTCCCATGGGCCTTTGGCAAGCTTCCCTTCTCTCATCTCGATCTCTCTTTCATCCCTCTTTCACGGGGACAGGTTGAGCAGCTTAGTGGATTTATTTGGGTAATTAATGGCCAGGCTGATGGCTGCGATGTTCTTCAGCGCCTGTGCAATAAAACAGGGAGAGAACGATATAAAGAAAAGTGAATGAGTACAGCAGGAGAAAGAAAGAGGAGGGCAACAATGGCAGAAAAAAGTCAGAGAGAGGAAGAGAGAGAGAAAAACCATTAAGCAAAACATTGTGGGTAATTTATAAAACCGTTTCACACACCTGTGGCCCTCAAAGCTCAGCAAAAAACACCCACACACAATTATCACACTTCAAATATGTCACCGTTCGACCCATTTAAAAACTTTCTCGGCACAAAAACGCTAATTTGTTAACAACATCAAACCACTTGTTTGGATATTACAAGCATGTTTTTATTCGAGCTGAAAAGGTGCTCGGGATAAGATAAATACAGAGCATTAATCCCGTCCCACACAACACAATGTGTTCCTTGTGCCGGAGATGAGGCTGCGCCACACCAAACACAATAATGGGGTTAATGACTAAATGCAATAGAGTTGCCCACAGCCCACACACAAACACACTCTTCTCTCACACACATGTATATGGATGATGGGAACTCGTACGCCTCGTGCGAGAATCGACACAGGTGTTTTTATCAATATGCTTTCTGATGTTCAGCTGTTTTAGCATAATATTTGGTGAGAGCTGTCATGTGATGAGGAGCGCAAATATTTATTTCACCAAGGGCAATTTAGTCACTAATGCTGTTATCTATCTACAGTATGTGAACAAAGGTCAAACACTTTTACTATTAGAGAAGTGTCAAGTGTAGAGAAGTATTTTCCCAAATCGCATGTATTAATTTGTAGTAAAACTAATGTTCCTGCAAAAGAAGCAACATGAAAGAAACAAAGCAATGGGAAGGCTACTGTACAGTAATAATAAAATACACTCATTAATTTTTCATCAAGTAGCCATACTGTACAATGACTGTCAGTCATCAGGGTTTGCTAATAAAACAAGCTCTTTAACACACCATTAGACATTAGAGGATCATTATAACTCATCAGCATATAGTGGGACATTGGATGCAGCCGTCCATTTGACAAACATTCACCTCTCCACTGTGCTGCGGTTTCCTGTCCTTCCTGTGAATTAGCAGCTTTATGGCTCTGCCACATCTCATTTTAAGCAGTGAACCGTCACCACTGAAAACCTTTTGTGGCTCCTGGTATATAATGTGTACTCATTTGAACATGGCTGCAGCAGTTTATTGTCTTAATACCATGTGTCATCTTTGACGGGATAACCCTTACTAGCTGTATACCAAAGTCTACCGTCCTTCTCTTCCCTTATGTCAAATTATTCATCGGTATACATTGATTACAAATATAATAGCATGATATGTCAATTAATCAAATTCCATAAAATGGCCAATCTCTGGTAATATTCACTTTTACTGCCTTTTTTTAAACAATGAATTGCACTAAATGAACAAGTTAAACGGACAGGTCATATTTATTTAATGTTTACGTAAACCTGTTACTTTACTGTTACAAATGTGGTGTTTATGGCATGTCTGGCTTCTCAGACATGCTCATGACTGTTCATAAAGCCTGGTCTGAACGTCGAAAAAAAGGCTGTTCAGTATTTTCATTTACTTGCAATCTTACATTCCCAACAGCTTCGATTACTAAATGACTCTCTTATTAAAGATCCATTTATTGAATTTATTGTTAAATAGGAATTTCATTGATCATCTGAATCACTGATGACTGTTTCGTTCCATTATACTTGAGCTTTTTTTGTATTGTAATCATATTTTAGCTTGTACTTTTTTGTTGTCTGCCCTTGATTTAAACACTGAAGGATACTAAATTGTAAAATAAAACTAAATATATAAGAACACTACAGGGACTGTGGTAGTCTTACCTGTGCAGTGCGCACTACTAGCTGTTCATTGGTAGTGAGAGCAAGAAGGTACTCCTGCAGAATGTCCTGCTCCTGATGGACAAATGAAAAGACACGTGACAGCTTTAGTGTTCAACATGAATATGACACATTTAGCCCCTTTAAAGGTCACCGATATAGAAAACAAGCAATCTGATGATAGGTCAGTTGAATTCAAGGCCAGTTAGACTACACTGTTATTCACCAGACTGGCTCTCGCTCCTGTAGCTCAACATGAGCTGTTAATCTGGGGTTTGGAACAGCACCACGCTGTTGATGACATAACTCTGAATCAAACCAGACACCATCTAAATCAGCCCTGCTTTCTAATTTCCTGAGTTAGGAGTATTTGCACTGTTCCAGGTATTTCACATTGATCATGTTTAAGAGTCCAGAGTCTCTAAGTAAGTATTTCTGTGTTATGCAGAGACTGTCTCTGTACAATACAATCTCTGGAGAACTTTTGAGGGAGTATGGTGGAACCTACAAAATGTAAAGCCCATTTAAACATGTTATGTGAAGTAGGCAGAGCAACTTGGTGCACTGTTTAAGAAAAATTATTGTGGGTATATGGATCAATTCTCACTATTAACTAGTTGCTTATTAGCATTGCCTATTATTAACATATTGGCTGTTTATTAGTACTTATAAAGCACATATTCTGCCTGATTATATTCTACATCTCTAATCCTGATAAAACCTAAACTTAACAACTATTTTACTAATTATTTATAAGCAGCAAATTAGGAGTTTATTGAGGCAAAACTCGTAGTTAATGGTTTGTTATTTTATAATATAATATTTTATAATGGTTTGTTGTCGTATTGTGTTGTTACACCCTGAAAAATCAGTGAACAATGAACATTCATATCAAGGTAAACTTTCTATTGTGACAATTTGTACAGTATAAGCAGCACACAACAAGGTTGACAAGGCTAATGCATACTGATGCCCAGATTGGCAAGAATCAGCCATTCCCTGTTGAAATATGTTCATGAACTCCAGATGGCACACTAGTCTAGAAAAGTGAATGCTAATGACAAATGGGAAATTGAACAAGTACAGCACCAAAGATGTGCAACTGTTGTTAAACATTTAAAAGGAAGTTTGCACAGAGATATCAATTTTTATTTTGCTGTCCTTCCTTATTTTGCTCATACTGGTTGAAATGCACTACTAAAAGGAAAGAGGCTGCAAATAAACAAATTATGTGAATAAATTACATGATATACTGTATACTACTCAAAAGTTTGGGGTCAGTAAGATAAAAAAAAAAGAAAAAAAAAGAAATAAACACTTAATCAGCAAGGACACATTACATTTATCAAAAGTTTCCAAAAGTGACACATTTATAATGTTAAGATTTCCATTTCAAATTTTATTCATCAAAGTTTCCACAAAAATATTAAGCAGCACAACTGTTTGTCAGCATTGAAAACATATTCAACATATTAGAATGATTTCTGAAGGATCATGTTACATGGAACACTGGAGTAATCCTGCTAAAAATTCAGTTTTACCATCACCAGCAGGAATTACATTTTAAAATATAATAGATACAGCTATTTTAAATTGTAATAATATTTTACAAGAATATTTTACAACACTTATTTCACACACACACACAATACATATATGCATGTACTGTACATACTGTATATGTGTGTGTGTGTGTGTGTTTGAGTAATAATTAGCCGTTTTGCAAGAACTTATAACTTGCTTTCCTACAAATGTCTCTTTTCATTAAGCAGTGATGGGAGAAAGTGACATACTTAAATGACATTACATTTAAGTAAAGTGTTGTTGTTTTTTTAAACACTTAAAATGCATCCAGCTCAGTTTTGATTACTTTAGTTGAAGGAGTTATGACTGGAGTGTCAACAATGCTTTGGGTTAACAGAAGCTGGTCAGACTGCACTCCACTTCTACACCAAAACGAACAACATCTAGACGTCTCAAAACACTTCTTAACACAACTTTTCTGTAGACTGTGGAGAGGCTGCAGCTTTTGTCATGTCAGAACACTTTTTGAAACCACTTCCTCTGTGAAGGAGGGGCTTTTATCATCCCGCAGAAATGAGTATACTACACTACAGGAGAGGAAGACAGAACGAGCCTGACTTCTTAACTGTTTTTTTATTTTTTCCGTCTCATTTCCGACTCAAACGCTGCAACAGCTGAGCAATGGCATGCTGAGACTCTCTTGCAAATGCGTGCCGACAATCTCCCATTAGATCAGCGTTCTGACCCCACTGTCTAGCGCTGCCTTGCTGAAAATAAACAATGGATCGGTCATGATCATCTGGCTGCTGAGAGGTCTGAAATCTTTATGGTCAGTTCTGAGAAGTGCAGTGGCTGTGGGAGAGATTAAAGCTCTTCATAATGAGGCCAAACAGTGCTGAGCATCTACTGGTGCAACCACTCAACACTCTCACAAAACCCTCACTTCATCCATTTGCCTGTCAGTCCTTGAGACTAATGCTCACTTAAACATTTCCCATTCAAACACGCACACAAACCACTTCATATTCGTGTCCAACTTGGCTGTTAAAGGATTATGGCTCAAGGATGAAAGAGTATTGTCATAAAAACATTCCTCCCATTTACAGGCTCAAAGAAAGAGAGCCATTTACTCAGGTCTGATAGTCGAGGTTTTACATGACATAGCTATTTATAAAAATATACGCATCACGTACTGCGTATGTTCATAATGTGTGTGTACCTCAGAACACTGTATGTGACTATATCTGTCCTTGAAGAATATTTTGGCTTTCTTTGAATACAAGGATATGTGTTATTGCCCTCTAGTGCCTGGTTTTTGGAAACTAAAGCCACTCTTGGGTATTCACAAATTTATTTGCGTTATATAACAAAATATCAAATGAAGTGTACTTTATTTTTTAAGAAATATGGCAAAACACACTTAAAAGTTTGTGTCACTTTGTGGCTGCCAAACGTTAAGATCTGTGGTTACTCTGCTATGACGTTTGAGAGAAACTGACTACACACACACCCACTTAAAAATGACATTGGAACCAGTTGTTTAAAAGTCACTGCAAAAACAGCTAAACAAATTAAATGACTGATCTAGGAGATCCAGTTAAACTTAGTGTAAGCTGAGGATCCTCCATTGGTAAACAGGACCAGCGTTACGAAATCTTAAGAATTTATCATTCTGAAGTCTTGCGGACTCACATGCTACATCATGTAAACATAGTCCTTAAAGGGATAGTTCACCCAAAAATGAAAATTCTATGTTTATCTGCTTACCCCCAAGGGCATCCAAGATGTAGGTGACTTTGTTTCTTCAGTAGAACACAAACAGAGATTTTTAACTCAAATTGTTGCAGTCTGTCAATCCTACAATGTCAGTGGATGGGAATCACGGCTTTGAGAGTCATAAAACATACACAAATAAAACCAAATTAAACCCTGCAGCTCGTGATGATTAGATTGTAGATAGTGTCAATGGTCCATTTGAGAGATAGGTGGCGGTAATGCACTTATAAGTCTGCATTCCGCTGTAAAGCAAGACGAAGAAGAAGACGCCTCACACGCAGGCTGAAGAAGAAGATGCGAATGCGCTCAGGACGCGCTCAGGACAGTTCGAACAGTTCAGACATTGCGTGAATCAGAGGTAAAAAACTATATAAATACTGTTCAGTTTCTTGCACAGACTGATCGTTTTGTGTCTTTACACATCAATGTATCATCACGAGCCGCAGGGTTTTTTTGACTCTCAAAGCCGTGATTCCCATCCACTGACATTATAGGACTGACAGACTGCAACAATTTGAGTTAAAAATCTCCATTTGTGTTCTACTGAAGAAACAAAGTCACCTACATCTTGGATGCCCTGGGGGTAAGCAGATAAACATCAAATTTTAATTTTTGGGTGAACTATCCCTTTAAGGTTAATGTCAGGCCTGTATGTTTCTAAGTGGGTGTATTATTTTGGAATGTGAGCGTAGAATACAAGTGCGGAAACTCAGGCATTCACACACATACACACTCAACAGAGAGCAGTGCAGGTGGACATGAGAAACACAGTAAATCATATGAGTGGAAGACTCGTTTTAGTGGAGTTCCCATGACAGACACTCACACAAACCCTGATGTGATTCAGACTGAATTAAGTCTGACATTAAACACGACAATAAAAACCTTAATGTTCTCCAGTCCAGTTTTTCACATATCATTACATCTTTGTGACAGCACAAAATAATTATGGGATGCCTCCCAGAATTCTGGGTTTATTTTGTCAATTTACCTTAAGTAAATGCATCTAAAATGATTGTTTTTTTGTTTTTTTATCATCGCCATCTGAAGAACAGAGCAATTCATATCTGTTACGCAGACATATGCATAATCCTAAACACATACCAAAATAAATGATCAAATAAAGATTAAGAATCAAAAATGCACAGAAATGATACTATAAATTACTATTGATTTCAACACCTCTATTGGCTTATGAATTAAAACATAATGGTCCACAGAGAAAAAAAAAGTAAAAATACATTTTAATGTTTTTAATAAAATCTCTTAATCCCACTTAAGATGCATTTATTTGACCAAAAATACAGTGAAAACAGCAATATAATTACAATTTAAAATAGCTTACAATTTAGAATAACTTTCTATTTTAAAATATCTTAAAACGTGTACGTTACACGTTATAAAAGTTATAATTACTCCAGTATTCAGTGTCACATGATTCTTCAGAAATCATTCTAATAAGCTGATATATATATAAGGAACATTTCTTATTATTATCAATGTTGAAAATGGTTGTGCTGCTTAATATCTTTGTGGAAACTGTGATACTTTTCAGGCTTCTTTGATCAATAGAAGGTTCAAAACAACAGTATTTATTTAAAATAGAAATGTGTCACTTCATCAATTTAATGTGTCCTCGCTGAATAGAAGTATTAACTTCAATCTTACTGACAATATTTTTGAACAGTAGTGTCAAGAAATTAATTATTTACTCTACCTAATGATCTCCTGCTGTTATTCTTTATGCTTTATGTTTTCTCATGAATGTTAAAAGAGATGCTAAAGGACGGAGGAAGACGATGGTCACTCACCATGGCCTTGGCTTCAGCGATGAAGAAGAGCTCAGTGAGAGCGCGATGGAGAGGAAGGAGGACCGTGATGCTGGTGGGGTCCTGAATCAAACCACTCTCCATAGTAGTGAAGAGCTGCCACAGCGGTCGCAGAAGTGTAAGGTCACAACCCCTGTGTTAACACACACAACAATCAAAATGTGAGGTCATTACACTCTAAATGATCTTGGCTTTTTCATTACTCATATTTGAACTATATGGCCATTTCATTCGCCCGGTTAATGTTCCCCTTGCGGTGGGCAGGTGGCCATTTGCATGGGCTATTCCTCAACCTGACACCACAGGTACATATCTCTATTTCTCTCATACACGCACTGTCTGCTGCTGCTGATGATGCAACTGTGTCCAAACACCATGGAAAGCATGCAAATCACCCTGACATGTGACCTTGTTGCCATGGGAACAATCAAGGCAGAAAGCCACCGTCAGATGCGTTATGCAAACGTTGGGTAAATCTGAATGCTCGCCAATACAAAACACACAAATGAATGAGCAGAAGTGGTTCTGAGGAAAAATTGATTCAGGTTTTCTAAACTCACCACTCTTCAGAAACAAGACAAAAGTTGCAGAGCGGAAGAAAGATCTCGAGGCTTGTTAAACTGGGCCAAGTTGAACCTGCCATCCGCAGAGAGCAGAACTGACCTGACAGACCAAGTTCTGAAAGGAAGTTGCTGCCTCATCTCTTTAGAATAGTGGGGCGGCTTTAAAGCACTGCAGGATGAATTGACTACCTTTTGTTGGGTTTAATAAATGCTGTCAAAGCTTTTCAGAAAGGTAAGAAGGGACACACCATTGAGACGGACACTGCAGGAGCCGCAGCAGCAGGTGAATGGCTTTCAGCCGCTGGTTTCCTGTTTGCCGACAGGCCACGCCCACCTGCCACTCCCAGATGTCAGCCAGCGGGAGGTGAGTCAACGCCTGCTCATCTGCTAGCATCTGCTTCAGGATCTCAAAACCTGTTCATAAAAATTCATTTATTAGCCAACTTGCAAACTGAAAAAGAATATAAAAGCAAGAAGGATATAAATTCACAAGTGGGGCTGCTTTCTTTCTCTTGTTTACCCTCTTAAGCCTCATCTGTGAAACAGCAAATGAGTTGGCAGACCCCATAAATGAGGCGCTGAGAAACCCATTTGATATTCCATTACAGAATAATAACATCAGAAACAGCAGAAGGTGCACGTTTATTAATTCTTTGATTAAAGGTGGACGAGACACAGGAAAGGAGTTCAAAGCTACTCGTCATCCAGTACTGACAGACATGATCAAATCGTACAGTATGCTCAGAAGTTTACAGACTAAGAGCCCGTCTACACTGAATGTGTTTTAGTAATCTACTATGTAAACAAGCGCTAGACAGACATTTTTGACCAGTGCACTCTTCTCGCACATGAAATGGTGTTATAAAATACTTGTGTGTGAATGGCCTAATCAGAGCAACTGGGTTGTGGATGAGAATTCTGTAATGGATAAACTTTACAGTAGAGAAATATCAGTACAATATCAGTTAATTTAAAAAAAAAATGTATCAGTATCAGTCTATGTACTTATTCATGCTTATTTTGCCTATTTTTACATTTAGATCACCTTTGCCGTCATCCAGCATGCAACAGGGTTATCATTAAATGTGTTTCCATCGTAGTTTATGCATTTTTCTTATCGGATAAAAAGTTGATCCTACTCAAATGCGCATTTTTATTTATTTATGCACATCTTGGCGTTTCCATCCAGCGTTTTTTATGCGATATTCCAAAATGCGCATAAAAATAGGTGGATGGAAACATAGCTATTGTTAACTACAACTAAAATAATTAAAAAACAATTACTTGAAATATAATAAACATTGATATAAACAGAAACTGAAATAAAATATAATAATATATAATAAAAACTTAATTTAAGCAAATTTCTCTAGTTCTAAAACTTAATAAAAACTCTAAGGAATGAGAAATTTATTTGGTAAATGTGTTTCCATCGTAGTTTATGCACATTTTTTCTTATCGGATAAAAAGTTGATCCTACTCAAATGCGCATTTTTTTTTATTTATGCACATCTTGGCGTTTCCATCCAGCGTTTTTTATGCGATATTCCAAAATGCGCATAAAAATAGGTGGATGGAAACATAGCTATTGTTAACTACAACTAAAATAATTAAAAAACAATTACTTGAAATATAATAAACATTGATATAAACAGAAACTGAAATAAAATATAATAATATATAATAAAAACTTAATTTAAGCAAATTTCTCTAGTTCTAAAACTTAATAAAAACTCTATACATATATAAAAAACCCTAATCAAAATGACAAAACTAAACAACAAAATTACTAAAACTAAAATGAAAACAGAAAATACAAAAAAACTAATTCAAAATATTAACAAAGACTATAATAATATATCAATGATATTAAAATAACACTGACGTGTACTAATAATTTAATATGCTGCTAAATGCCATCTTAGTGTTATTTTAGTACTATTTATATACTTTTATTGTATTATAAATATTTTGAATTAAATTATTTTTATATTTTCAGTTTTCATTTTGCATTTTGAGTAAAGTTAAATTTGTTATGTGCTATTGTCAATTATATTGGATTTAGTTTTTTTCTGTTTAACTTTAATGCATTTTTGATTTAGTTGAAATAAGCACTTTCTAATTTTTATTTATTTTTTAACTTATTTTATTTTGGCTTTATTACAATTACTGAAAATTATTTTTAATAGTTTTAAGTTTTAGCATTTCATACTGTACAATGTTGAGATGCCTAAATTCAGCTTATAAAACGGATAGTTCCAGTCCTAGATTCTGATTGGTTGAGTCGTATTCGAAGCTGTTGTAAATTACACTACAAACATACACCTTTGTTTACTTCTGTGTGTTGCTCGGCAACCATTTTGTTGGAACCACAAGTGTTTCTGAGGAACTACATTGTTTGGTGGAAGAATGCTGTTTTTATTTATATCATTACAATTTATTTGCTCTGTTTTATTCTGTGAAACATTACTACGTATATGGAATAACCGTTTTATTCCGCTTCGCGTCGTGCCTAACAACGCCCCTTAGCTGTTATAAATTCACTGTAAACCATGGCTTCTTGGGGCTTATTGCTTTAATTTAGAAAGATTGATTTTAGTTTTTAGTGTTTTATCATCATGATTTTACAGTCAGCGTTTATGACTTGTGGCTTTGCCTTAGCTCACTGGTCACTGCCGAAACCATGAGCGTCCACCCCAACAAATGCCTTAATTAATTTTAAACGTGTTAGGTATGATTGTAGGGTCGGCAGGGCCACCGACTCAGCAGGAAGTTGAGTTTCTGTGGCTGTTAACGCTCCCACACGCTGAGAGACACGGCCGTGCTCACAGACCCCCTCTGATTCTTACGACTGAAAAGCAGCTAGTGGGACACCAACATTACAACCAGAAAAGACTGTAGGAATGTGAGTCTCACGTGAAAGGATGGTATTACTGTGATGGTCTCTAAATGAGATGGACATTTCTGTTTCATGACATGATTCTAGAGCACAACTAGACAGTGGCTAGAGGACATTAGCGATAGACATCAAAAGAGACATTAAATAATTAAATGAGAACACCTTGCATACCAGTCTGGAAGCGCCCTCGATGGCCACCAGTCACAGTAAACTTGTAGCCCCATTCTGTGTTACTCATATCTGATATAAACCTGTAGTAGAGAGTGTCCCCTAGAGGAGAAAGAGGAAAAAACAACCCTTACATTCTGCTCATTTATCATTAACCCCAAAGTGAAAATTGATGTACATCAGCAAATATACGAATGTGTAGAAAAATTTGTGAACCCTGCAGATTGACCTGGATTTCTAAACTGGCCATAAAATTCAAGAGACAAACACATTTCACTTAAACCAGAGGTGGGCCACAAAAGGAGTGCCAGGGGGCAGTGAAAACTTTGAGAGAAAAGTGCGTTTAAGAAAGTTTGTATGATCTTTATTAAATATGTTTAATACAATAGCACTGCTGTAGAACAATATGTATATTATTGTTTATAATAATATGCTATATTATTGCATTTGAATCTCCCTGGAAAGGCTCTCCTTCAAATTTATAATAATGGGTAAAAAAAAAAATGCTTTCAATCTTAATACAAAGTCAATATTTTAAAGATGATATTTAAAGCAATTGCTTTTGCTGTAGTACAAAAGAAGTTAATTTTGGAAGTACTGGATTTAATAACAGATTTTCCTCCAACATGTCCTGCAACTGCAATCTGAACAAAGCAAACACCAGTCCTTTATGATTCATTTATAAACAAATATCATTCAAACATGCCACTTTTTCAAATTCTCACCTGGAATCTCAAAGTCGGTCCATTTCTGGTGAGAACCACTGAAAGTATGCAGGTCCTGCAGGAAGTCACTGCTGCTGGCCATAAGGAGCTCATCACACCCTTCCTCTGTGTGACAGCGAGAGTCGAACTTCACAGACAGGAAGATGGCTCCAGGGATGTGCACCTTATCCTGAGACAACGCAAATAATGACATGGAGTGGACCAGGAAAACGCAACTATGATCAAGCGATTTGGAGTAAAAGAAAATCCAATTCATACCTCAAAGTTAGTGTTGTTGTCGTAGGAGTGCTTGGATTCACGGACCTGCACAGCCATTCCTGGCTCCTCCATAAACTGACATGCTGTCAGCGACAGATTACCCAGCATGCTCTGGCTGCAGCCCCTCAGAACCTTCTGCAAGATCTGAGATCCATCATGTGTATGAATTATATGCATACCAACAATCCGATTTGATTTAGTTGAATGGCTTATTCATTTATGCATATACTTATTAAATATTTATTATACAATAAATAAAAATGCCACATTTGTTGTATTTAAAAAAAATGCAAAGTACAGTTTCATGGCCAGAATGAAATCATTCTGGCCTGTAAATGTTCCCAGCTGGTTTGGCAAAAGCTCATTTTAAATCCTGACTACAGATCCACACACTCCTTCCCCTCCTCACCTTCTCCCACATCGGTCTCTCCTCTAGTTGCATGAGCATGTCCAGTATGTAGGCCATGTGAGAAGCTCCGCTCAGCTCCAGGTCTTCCTCTCTGATGGGAGTGTCAGGGGGCCAGTCGGCCAGCAGCGTCGCCAACACGTGACGTGCGTACAGAATAGCAATGGCTTCATTCACTTTGAAAAGGTACTGTCGCACTGCTTTGTTACTGCGAGCATCCAGCTCTTTATGCAACAGAGCTGAGCTTTTGGTGCGCCGCTGTTTGGCATAACTCAGCTGGAGGTCGCTCTCTGTGTTGGTGATGAGTTTCTGCGTGACGACATTTGTTTCTTCTGTGGCTCGATCACACCGGGTGGGTTTAGACTGAGTGTCAAAGAAAATGGAGCAAATTAATGTTAACTTTAGATCACAAAATGGATTGTGTTTAATTTTAAACTTAGTCTTACCACACAGGGCACAATGATAATATCAGTATCTACAGCCTTGGTACTTCTTTCCTCAGAACGAGGTCTTTTAGATGGTTGCCACTTCTGTGCCAGTGTACGAATAGTCTCGTCGGTTTTTATAGCGTCACCATCAAACCTGAGATATGATATGTTAGGGGAAAAAAAAGGATTATTTGCGATAAAGCCTTTGAATTGATTTTATACAGTTGAGAAATACACAAGATTTATTTGCAATTTTGTTCACAAGTTTACACAGAAAATGCAAGCTCTTTAGCACTTTGTAGATATTAAGAGGGATCAATTAAAATTGATGATGCTATCTTAAGATTTTCAACAAAAAAAAAATGAAATGTGTAGTGATAATTATTACTTTATTATTATTATTATTATGAAACTCAATAATAATAATTTTCAATTTACATGCATTAAGCAGATGTTCTTATCCAAAGCGATTTACAATAGAGGAACATGAGAATAAATCACAAAGCAATCAATATTAATAGTGTATAATGATATTACATTATTAGATTTTTATATACTAAATACTATTTTCTTTTAATAAACAGAATGGTCACTGAACTAAAAGTCACGCAATGAGGCAACATATGCCTACATATGCATGTACATTCCTAGAAATAAATTCTAAACCTTGACTATGTAAATGAAATGATAATTCAAAGTGTAACTCACCTCTTCTGCACCTCAAGGAAGAAAGAATCGGTTCTCTTCATCTGGAGCTCATACATGGCTCTCAAGATGTGCAGTGGGGCATTAAGAGCATCATGGGTAATCTAACAACAAGACAAACATGAGAGCTCTAATAAATGTTCCTACATTCCAGTACTGTGAATTATCTGCCCCCTTTCTTGCTCCAGTTCCTAACTGGTGAGAAGCAATTACAACACTCAATCAATCTGATCATTCTAGATCAAACTGCTGCAAGAGAGCTGAAAAAGGCCCACGACTGACAGCAGATGCGTGTCTGAAGCCTGACCTGGAAACAGATCTTTGTCTCTTCATCCAGTCCTTCCAGTGGATCCGGTCTGTTTGGATCGGCATCATCAGCGCAGCAGCTGGAGTGATCCGAGTCATGCTCTTTCTCTCTCTCCTTCTCTCCATCGGTCTCGGTGTCTGCGTCCTCTGCCATGGAGTGGATCTCTCGCTTTGAGGAATAAAGCATGATGGAGAGGATCTCTAGGTCTCGCAAAAGCCACATCTTGCTGAAGCCTGTGCCCTTGCTGCACTTGCGGACCAGAAGCTGCATCAGGCCAGAGCCCTGGATGGCCTCTTGGGCTTGATCCACCCCATGCTTCTGCAAGAAATAGAGGAAAATCAACACAATCATGACTTGTTCAAGTTGAGTATTTATGTAATGGCCCCAAAACATATTTGGAAACTAAAGTCATAATTAAGCACCTAAACATTTCATTGCATCAGATAAAATATAAATAAATAGAATATATAGCATAGAATATCTAAGCATTTATTTCAAAGCAAGATAGCACAACACACGTTTCAAGCAAAACATGTCACAAAAGGAAGTAAAAAAACTGCTCCAGTTCCTAACTGGTGAGAAGCAATTACAACACTCAATCAATCTGATCATTCTAGATCAAACTGCTGCAAGAGAGCTGAAAAAGGCCCACGACTGACAGCAGATGCGTGTCTGAAGCCTGACCTGGAAACAGATCTTTGTCTCTTCATCCAGTCCTTCCAGTGGATCCGGTCTGTTTGGATCGGCATCATCAGCGCAGCAGCTGGAGTGATCCGAGTCATGCTCTTTCTCTCTCTCCTTCTCTCCATCGGTCTCGGTGTCTGCGTCCTCTGCCATGGAGTGGATCTCTCGCTTTGAGGAATAAAGCATGATGGAGAGGATCTCTAGGTCTCGCAAAAGCCACATCTTGCTGAAGCCTGTGCCCTTGCTGCACTTGCGGACCAGAAGCTGCATCAGGCCAGAGCCCTGGATGGCCTCTTGGGCTTGATCCACCCCATGCTTCTGCAAGAAATAGAGGAAAATCAACACAATCATGACTTGTTCAAGTTGAGTATTTATGTAATGGCCCCAAAACATATTTGGAAACTAAAGTCATAATTAAGTAAATAAACATTTCATTGCATCAGATAAAATATAAATAAATATAATATATAGCATAGAATATCTAAGCATTTATTTCAAAGCAAGATAGCACAACACACTTTTCAAGCAAAACATGTCACAAAAGGAAGTAAAAAAACAAACAAACAAAATATATGTACACACAACTATGCACCTTCAAAATCATTATAAACTATAATGTATATACATTTGTATTCATGCATGTATGTATTTATTACTTCAGGATGTCACATAATCCTTTATAAATAATTCTAATATGCTGATTTGGTGCTCAATAAACATCTTATTATTATCAACGTTGAAAATAGTTGCTTAATATTTTTGTGGAAACCGTAATGCATTGTTTTCAGGATTCATTGATGAGCAGAAAAGTTTAATTAATCAATTAATGTGAGCTCGCTCTTATTGACCCCAAAATTTGGACGGTAGTGTGTGTGAAATATGAGATATATGAGATATAAATATGATATATATGAAATATATGAGATATATATGTATATATAATATGTAATTAAACACACACACACACATATTTATACATACATACATTTTGTGGTCACTATATAATTTGGTTCTATGACTTTAAACTTTAAAGGGTTAGTTCACCCAAAAATGAAAATTCTGTCATTAATTACTCAACCTCGTGTTGTTCGAAACCCGTAAGACCTTCGTTCATCTTCGGAACACAATTTAAGATATTTTTGAAGAAATCTGAGGGCTCTCTGACCCTCCCATAGACAGCAAGGTAACTACCCCGGGTCAGAGAGCCCTCAGATTTCAGCAAAAATATATTAAATTGCGTTCCGAAGATGAACGAAGGTCTTACGGGTTTGGAACAACACGAGGGTGAGTAATTAATGACAGAATTTTCATTTTTGGGTGAACTAACCCTTTAAACTTCAAAGCCAAACTTTTTTGCTGTACAAGGGCAGGTGTGAGGTGAATACCTTGAGAGTGTTGTAGAGTCCTTTAAGAGCGAGTGAGAGCACCCAGGTGGCCTCCACAGCATCTTGGGCGCTGCTCTCCACCCCGACCTGCAGTAGGTGACTCACAATAGAGGTGAAGTTCTTCAGGTAGCGGCTCATGTGGGCGGAGGTCGGGGACTCAGCTTGCCCCTCATGAGACTCTGCATCATTCCTGCTGCTGCTCTCATGTGCCTGGACTAACTGGTAGTCTTTCACTGAGAGAAAAAGTAGAAAATAGAGATGCATTAATGCACTTTTTTGTTTTACTATTTGAGTGACCATGGGTATTTCCACAAAGCAGCCACTAAATGAGGCTAGAAAGTTCCAATTGAATAGCATCCTGTCTACTGAAATGTCCTCAGGTAGTAGTGAGGGGCTACTCATTATGACCATTAATCCTACATATTTCTGGTGGTTGGCTGAAAGAACTCAAATTTAAAAGCCAGTTTGATCACAACACAGCATATTACTGTTTTACTAATGAGAAATAAGCATAGTGGTCATCAAATATTTGCTCTTTAAAACTTTAGAAGGCAGTACGTTTATTTAAGAAGTACCTTCATACAAAAACCATCTGTTAAACCTGGGCAACAAGGTAAGTAAAGCTGACACACCCTTTGCAAATTAAGGTGGGTTGAAATGTCAGTGACAGTCTGTGACTTTAGAAAGACTCATGCAGCTCAGGGCTGCCAGCAGTGGTATTTTTACAGCTGAGACCATTTGAGAGATGAGTGTGAGCAGTGTGAAGAACCCGTCGACAGATCTTCTCTCACCTGTTCTCCTCTTACGAGTCTTGACGTCCACCACAGCAGCTCTGTTCTTCTCAGTGAAGTGCTTGAGCAGAATCACGTTGTGTTGTTCGTTGGCATTATCGATGAATACAGCCTGAGTCCCCATACACAGCACCTAATAAACAGACACACAGCTCTTTCAAAATGTCATAATGGCTCAGATGAGTCTTGACTACAGATGGCATGTCATAACTTCATACAGGCTTATATTATGTGTGCTAGAGCATGTACGTGTGACATCTTGGTTCATACCTCAGGGAATCCCACGAGCACCAGCAGAGTGAAGAGGTTGGTTCTCTTGAGTTGCTGTGGTAACTGCTGGATGCAGTGATCAGTGAACGCTGCCACAACACCACACCACTGAGAAGAAATATTCAGGTTTCGCAAGATGTCCGCCACAGAGCACGCCCAATCCAGACCGATACGACTGTTGTAATAAAAACACAGGTGATGGACACAGACTTACTGTTTCGTGAAAAACTGAAAATGTGTTAATTAAAAATACAAAAACGTCCAACAAAGCTAAAGCTGTAGAGGTAAAGTTCAGCCAAATGTTTGATTTGAGGTCTTCAGTGTCACATGATCTACAAAAAAAGAATCATTCTAATATGATGATTTGGTGCTCCAGAAACATCTTCAATGTTTAATATTTTCTGTGGAAGCCATGATTCATTACTTGCATATATATATGTATCCCGCACTGTTGAACGTTAATGTATTTGGCCTCTAAAACACATTATGTTTAACCATATGTTACACATCCAATCACACTACCTGTCTAGACACACTGCTCCCAGACTGAAGAGCAATTGAGTGGTCTTCCAGCCAGGAACATCAAGCGCTGCTCCATCTCCGAGCGTAAGTAACTCAAATTTGTCTGTCAGTGCCTCTGCCACAGCTGCATCAGCTTCCGCAGGAGAGATCCTTAACAGAAGCTGTCCCAGAAGGCCTAGTGTCAGGTGGTATGTTTCATTCAGACAACCGGCGTTCGAGATGACCACTCTGAACAGCAGTGGCAGGATGGGACTCAGGCTGGACAAAGATAGTGAGCTGCCCTGTAGAGGATTAAATGTGTATATTAGCATATTTTGGGTTTCTTGGATGTGAACGTGAGACAAAAAATAGGTAGATGAACTGAATTTTTTCTGAGTAGTTGAACATTTTCTGAAACCAAAAGCCTACCACTACAACAGTGTTGCCAAGTCTGCGATTTTCCTGCAGAATTGGCCTACTTTAACACTGTTGCTGCGGGTTGTTTTTCATGTCCGCGGGTTGAAGCGACCTAAATAACGTGATATTTAGCCCCTGTAGTGCAAATTTTACCAGAGGAACCTCGCCAAAAGACGTGTATTTTACCCCTCGAAATGCCTTTGGGCTAGTGTTGAGTAGCAATTGGGCAGGTTTTGTTGTGAAAACATGGCAACCCTGCACTACAAATTAAACTGGAATCTTTGTTGTTACCTGTTTGGTTGCAGGCAACATGGCTGCCAACAATCCCAGAATTCTCTCTCTGGAGCATTCGGCAAACACATGTTCCTGTAGCGGCCCCCGGGCTGTCTTTTCCTCCTGGTCCTTATATGCGTCCATGTTCTCTGAGTTAGGAGATGTGATAGTGTCTCCACTTGACTCTGAAACTGAGGCGAAAAAAAAGGAGATAAAATAAATTTTAACATCTGTACTTTGCCGTTTTTGTCCCCATTTACACCTTCTATGTCCTGTTGTCTTCAATTAAATCCCACAAGACATTCAAAAGCAACAAATAACTTTGACTACATAAAGATATTATAGATCTCCTTGATTATTGAAGGGTACTAAGAGACAGGCTCACCTCTGACTCCAGGGGACAGTGTGTCTTCACTAGACACAGAGGGAGTCTGACTGGCACTGGATGAGTCTGACGTATCCTGAGAGACAAGCTTCCTCCTTCTCTTCTCATCCTCTTCTGTATCTGGCTCCTGCTTTTGTGGTTTCTTGTGAAGAGGAATAAAACCAAGAGGATTATGAGGAATTGTTAAAAAAAAGTTACAGTGTGTTTATCACACACTCACACTGTTGTTAGCTATAACCTGGGGATTTTAGTCACATACTTGAAAAATAAAAAGGCCAAAAGCTTCAGTAAAGTACTGACTCTGTCTGTAGGTAGCGGTGGGGAGCAGATAGCTGTAGTGCTGCTGGGAAGTGAGGAGGTGTCTGTGCTGCTGATGTCCTGAAAAGAACCAGCAGTCGCAGGACACAGTTCACTCTCTGTGGCTGATTCGTTTGAAGAAAGCAGTGACAGCAGGGCAGAGGCTCGCAAACCTACAGGAAACAACAGCAACCCTGATTATACAGACACATCAACCAAGACTTGCATTTCTAATTAACACACACACACACACAACTTAATTCTTAATAGATCATGTGCATTCAGATATATTGATTACCTTTCCCAGTCTGTCCCTTCAGCAGGCAATCATTGATGATGTCAGAGCAGTGGGTTTGCAGTGCCCTAGCGTAACCGAGCTTGACATCATTCAAAGGCTCTCCATCCTGCACGCTCTCGCTGATCAGCTCGGATGTGAACAGGGCGAGTGCGGCAAAAAGAAGCCAGGAGTAGTTATGTATATAGGGCTGAATGAGTCTGTGGCGGTCACTGATGCGAATGGTGACCATAGGGTACACTGTGATACGATGGGTGGGCAGATGGCTGGAGGTAGAGGGAAAAAAGTAATAATAATAATAGCATAATAATAGCATAATAATAAAAATGAAAATATAATAATAATAATAATAACATAATAATAAAAATGAAAATGAAAATATATTATTATAATAAATTGTTTTGCCACTGAACCTCAAGTTACTCCAAAAAATTGTATGTATGCATGTATGTATGTATATATATATATATATATATATATATGTGTGTGTGTGTGTGTGTGTGTGTGTGTGTGTAAAA